GTCCCCGGGCCCCTGCGCCTGCGCGGTGAGGGCACAGCCCGGCCTGCACGGCCCCGGGGCCCTTGCGCCTGCGCAGTGAGGGCCCGGCCCGGCCCACCCCGTAGGCCCCAGTGTACGCGCGCCTGCGCAGTGACAACCCTCCTGCTGGGCCTGCGCGTCCCCGGCAAAGCGAGCGGTTGGGGACCCAGTGTGGTCCTGCGTCTGGCGGTTGGGAGCTCGCACACTTCCCGCTCTGACTTTTTCTCTTAAACGGTGGCCACAGTTTCTTATCCCGGGCTGAGTTAACGCCTCTCTGTCCTGAGTGGGGCCACAACTCGTTTCTGATCAGCGTCCGAGCTAAACTCCGGCCGCAGTGTGCACCCATCGCCCCGTGTGTGTGCATGTGCGTGTGCACGCGCATGTGTGCGCGTGTGTGCGCGGACGGGGTTAAGGGATTGATGCACGAGGTAGAGGAGCTGAGAAGTTACAGGAAAAATATGTTTATCAACATTATCGGTTAAACACTTTGCTATCTAATCATTTTACTAACGAAAAAAACAAATTCGATTTTTGATACCAAAAGTTTAATTTTCCTTTCGTCCTTTCCGTCTACTCTAACGGAGCACAATTACAGAAAAAACTGTGATCGGGCGTTTGCACCCTTCCTGGACAGTCTTGAGCGGTGTTTTCTTCCGTTTTGGGGATTTGACAGTTGCTTGTTAACACCAATATCAAAACTTGCCGTCTCTCCTTACTTTCTGACTCCTCAGACTACATGAGTCTAAAGGTAGCGTGGCCATATTTTTATTGAGAGAGCAAGTGAGTTTTATAATTAACCTGCGAAAACAATATGAAAGTAACCTATTTAATACACCGTGTGTGACCAGTACTCGACTGGACTAATGTTGTCTGGTGGGGCTTGAGCCAAAGAAGCATGCAGGAAAACCTTGGAAGCTGCCTAAAGTTGACTTTCTTTCCTGGATCATAGGCCCTGAGGATCCACTGCCTGACTCATTCAAGTGTTGAAACTTATGCATAAAGTTTCATCAAGAAATAACTGGCAGCTTTTCACTGTTCTTGTTTGTACTCTTTTTTAAAATAACCCTGTATAATTTGTTCCCATATTTCAGCATGTAAGTATGATAAACAAAAAGTTTCATTCTTTTTAGAGCAAACACCAGTGGCATGTACAGACGGGTTCGATCAGCCTGGGAAAGAAGCCTTTTCTCGCTTGGGGCATCCACAGATATGTCATCAGCGTCAGCATCACAGGTCAACTGTCCAGGAGACCACAAGTCAACCCCCAAACAAGCTTGCTTTCCTTTCTCAACAAACAATGCCCCTCACAGTGCTCCTCCATCTGTGCCTCAAGGGAGGGAGGTCTCTTACTGTCCCCCGCTGTGTGACTGGCGTCGCTGGGCACCTTGCTCTCCAGGCAAACGGTCAGCGCCCCTGTTGTGTCTTTGTGGTCACTGTTACCTGAGGCTCATCTACTGAAGACCAATTAAGTTTGTGCGGACGGCCAACAAGATCAGGGTTTCTCTGTCCTCAAGGAAAGCAGGAGAACAGACGCGAGCATGCGCGGGACTGATGTACTAGGCTCCAGGCTGCTGGGTAATTGCCCTCAGAAGACCCAGAAGCCATGAAAAGTGAAAAGAAGGCCGCTAACAGGATTCCGTGTGTGTGTGTGTGTGTGTGTGTGTGTGTGTGCGCGCGTGCGTGTGTGTCCCAACTCTCCAGACACGGGCTCTGTCAATAAACAAGTGAGGGTTTGACAGTCATTCTACAATAGCATTTCGAGCTCTTGGTTTCAGGTAATCTGCTTCTGCCGTCCCACAGGATTTGCAAGGCCCCTTACACTGGCCTTGGGACCTGCTTGCTGGATTTCTGCTGGCCCAGTCCAGCCTTGCTGGAAGGCCTTAGAGCAGACCGAGCCTGGACCTCCGTTCGTCTTTGTGCTCCAGGCTTAATTTCATGAAGCATAGTTGGTGAAAACCTCAACTGGAGTAAGACATTCAGCCATTAAGGAAGACACTCTGAAGAACACGCTGCGGCACATCCAAAGAAAATGTTAGACGACATCCAAATTTCATGCGTATTTGAACAACAAAAAAAAACTCTATACAAGAGTGGTTCTGTAAACCACTCTCTATAAACCAGAGGGTTCTATAAATGCCCCAGGAGAGAGTTCCCCTACAGAACCTCCAGGCTAAATCACGTCGCTCACGTGGCCAAGACCCAAAGAAGTGGTCAGATTATTCACTCTGCCTTCACGTTGTGTACTTGGGATGCTTTTAAAAACCATGTATGAACGTAGGTAGTGTGCTTCCTTGACATCTGAAATGGCGTGGGAAGAGTTGCTTTTGATCAAACTCATGAAAGTAGTGAGCGTTAATGTTAAAACAATACTTTTTTTTTTTGCTTAAAAACAACACGGAAAAAAAGAAAACAGTAAAACATTCACTGCAGTCACACATCATGTAGGCAAAGAAAAGTATTCAATAAGAGCGAAGGTAATTCTTTTCTATGAGGACTGTTGGTTTCAATTAGCACCTTTTCTGTAAGTTTAAATCATGATCCACATATTTTAAGAACTGAAATTACAAGTGCAACTTCTGAGCGAAAGTTCATTTTCAGCCTCTTAAGCTCTTAAAATCACCTCAATCACCGGGTATTAAACTTTGTTACCTAGAAACTGAATGAAAAATACCCGAGCAGTAGCTACATGGTCACTGCGTATAGAGGGGCTGTTGTTTTTCCCATCAACTTCTCGTTTTTCTCAAACTGTATATTTTCTCCTTCTGTCGCGTAAAGTTGGCTTGCGTGTAATGTTGGACTGCATTCAGTCTTGAATTGCCAGGGCCACCAAAATGGCCAGGGAGAAGTTTCACGTTGTTTGAAGAACGTTTTGCAGTGTTTTCTGAGTAGACCTTACGGTGAGGAGGTCTGACGAAGAGTGAGATGAATGACTTGTTTTATTTCATTACGCTTCAGGCCGGCCAGCTGAACTATGTGGACCCAGCCACTGGCTACGTGGTGCTCACCCAGGTCGCTCACTTACAGAGAGGAAGATGCTGCGGCTCTGCCTGCAGACACGTGAGTGGCAAACTCCCACATCACAGCGGGAGTTGGCGGGGCTTCCGTAACTTCATAACTACCTGTCATTCGAAAAACAAGTCAAATAAAAAAGCTAAATAGACCCGTAGCACGCTTTTCACAAGCTGCTCAAGCCAGGGGCAGCGAAGTCCTCAGGGCCAGCACAGGGCCTTTTAAGTTAATGGGATTTGGTGGCATTTCACTGTGACCACCAGTTCCTTGAAATGCCGTGATTCGAAATCCATGGGAGTTCTTTATTACAAGGAAACTTTTCATGAGGTTTTAAATAAGTTGTGTTCACTTATTTAAGTACAAAGAGGGCAGGAAAAGGAGCTGGAATGGTGCACACACTGCATCCCAGAAAACGTTTTTTCTTCATTATTAGCTGAATAAATAGAAACTTGCCCAGCATTGAAAGGTGGGTGTCTTTTGAATGATTATGATTTTCTTTCTTTGTTCCTTTTTCCCTCTTTCCTTCCTCCCTCCCTTCCTTCCTTCCTCCTTCCTTCCTCTTCTCTTCTTCCTCCTCCTCCTTCTGCTTCTCTTTCTCTCTCTCTCTTTCTGTGGCATTTTCTACTGTCTTTAACCATGACACTAGCTACCCCAAACGTACTGCTGTACCTTTCCTAAAATATATATTTCAGTGGAATGTGTGTGTATATATATTCACTGATTTAGATGAACTCACTACTTTTCCATTTTGAGCAAAAAAAAAAAAAGTAAAATAAATGGAAATGGGTTCTCCACAGTAAGTTTTTAGAAGCATCTTAGTCAGGTAAATTGTTATAGAGCTAGGATTATAAACGGATACGAACCTCTGTCTGTAGACCACTTTTACTGTATGTTTTGGGGCAAAAAGGTATTATTTACTTTAACCGACCCCACTTTGTAATTAGGGCGTCGATGCTGCATGTGTGTATTGAATGCCGCCGGCATTGAAAAATTAAGCCTCCACTTTTATGGATGGTCCTACCTGTACCATTAGCTGTTTCTAATGAAAGGCATAAGAAATTTGCATAAATTGGGGAACTGAGGATTTTCTAAGAGTGAGTGTTTAACGGTGAAATTCTTGAAGTTGGAAAGTGGCATCGAGGACGTGATTCTTGGACCCTAATCAGGATTATTCGCCGAAGGTCGCCATTATTCTCCTTAGTCTCCAGGAGCCGAGAGATCAGACGATCTTCCTAACATGAGGGGCAGCCTCTCTCACCAGAGGTATCGCACCTTTCCAAGATGATAGTTAGGTAATTCTATAATACTTTGTTTTATTTCTTCTGCAGTGTCCATATGGTCAAGTCAACGTTAAAGACCCATCTAAAAGAAAGCGATTCAATTCCTATTTTTACATTTGACAACAGTTTCATCTCTGTTCTCCATCTAATTAAACCTTATTTTAACTACATTAAAAGAACATCAAGAAAGTAAAAAAAAAAAAAAAAAAAAAGCCAGCAAATGTGTTTCTGAAGTGGCACGTTAATAGTTTTTTTTTCTTTTTTTTTTTTTTGCTTCTTTTTTTTTTTTTTTTGTTTCAACACATATGTCGAAGAAAGAAAATAATGACTGTTCCATTAAACGAACAGAAGCAATCGGTGCCATTGGCAGCTCTCGGTTTTCGTGGGGCCTCGGCTCTCCTACTGTGTTCTCCTCGCTGTCAGCAGCCCAGCGGAAGTTGCTGGCGAACGGAAGAGCTCGAACGCATCCTCCCTTTTGTTCGCGTCCTGAGCGGTGAGGAGGTCCAGGTGAGGCTGCCTGCCCTGGAGCCCCGGTGCCCGGAAGGTGCCAGTGTGCGCTGGGAGACGCTCTCACCGTCCATCTGTTCTCTCGATGAAAACTTTAAATCGCTCTGACTCGGGGGGTCAGGCCGCTTCCAGTGAACCGTCCTTTCTTCTCTCCCCCACATTTTTCTCCTCCATTTCCTATGCCGTTTCCCCGGTGGCTCTGTCTTAGAAGGTTTTATTAGCCTTGTCTCCCACAGACCCTGAAAGGATGTTCCCCAGCGCGCCAGGGGCTGGCCTTGGTCTCCGCCTGTGGCCTCAATAAGTGCTTTAAAGATCTTAAGCAACCCAAACCTTCTGGTGCCTTCTCCCATGTGAGATTCAAAATAAAAGCCCTTCAAACGGTAAAATAAGCGTAAAGAAGCCCAGGAAGGTTCTAATATTTCCATGGATTGTCACTTCCGTTGTTCATTTTACGGCAAATATGAAATTGTTTCCCAAAACAGTTGCATGTTGCTGCCTCTGCTCTGGCTTAGGTGCCCTCAGCAGCACTGGCCACTGGCTCTGCCAGGTGTCCAGGGCTCTGTGGCCAGGTGCTACCCTCCCTGGAAGTCATCTAGGGGTGGAAGGGGGTCAGCCTTGTGATGGGGGAGGCGCTTTGTCTTCGGACTCCTGAGCCCATCGATCTCTCCAGGCTGGGTCTGGGGCCGCCAGCTGACCCCACATTTCCCGCCACATTTGAAAACCAAGGCGGCTTTCCGGTGGGGGCTGGATGCTGCTCCCCTCAGCAGTGCCAAGAGAGAGAAGGGAAAGAAATGGAGCCGGCAAAGGCCATCTTCCCAGAGAAGCTAAGGAGAGAGGACAGGACGCGCATCCCCGGCGAGGCGGTGTTTTGAGAGAGGCGCCGGGCAGATGGGAATGACTGATGGGCGCCTCCTCCCCGCGCGCTCTCCCCGGCTCCCAGCAGCGGGCGCCTGGCCCAAGGAGCGAGGACCCGGTTCTGTCGCGCAGGACCTTTCTGTGGGACGCTTGTGACTCTTCCTGGCGGAACTTCAAGCTTGCGGGGCGACAACGGCAAAGGAGCTGCTGGGGATGGGGCGGGCAGCGCGCGCACTTTCCCGCTCTGGGGCGCCCGGGCCC